TTCATGGTAAGTAACATTGTAAGAAAGTCGGATCTTACTTTTGTTGTTTCATTAGTTGTTAAAGTTGTAAGTTTTTCTTGAAAAACGAAAATTTGAGTAATTTATTTGCTCTTTATTATATATTATATATATGTATCTATTTAATATACTTTGATATACTTTGATATATATTGTGTTAATTTTTTTGTGTTAATTTTACATAGCATTCATATTAATAAATATTCATAATAACAATAATAATAATAATAATAACCTCGTCCCAATGTTTTTAAAATTTGCTCTAAAATATCAAAAATTCATGCTTTTAATTATAAATGTTTTTAATTATAAATGTTTTTAATTATAAATGTTTATAACAATTCAGAAATCTCCAAAAAATGTTATGCATATAATGAACATGTCGGTTTATGTTTTTTATTTCCATGTTTGCGTATCTCATTATAATCTGCCAAACATCTATAAAATACAAAAATATTTTTATCATTAACAATAAAGTAAATTAAATAACTCATTTTATTTAGTTACTTACAACCAACAAAATTCATAAGAACTAACATTTTTTGTTGGACCCATGACACTTAAAATTTCTTCGACCATACGTTGTTCAGCTTCAGGATGTTTTGCCAAAAGATAAGCGACAATACTAAGAGTTGTAGTTGTTGTAGAAGTTCCACCACCAAACATTTCTCGCAGGTTTTGTTTAATATCTTCAGGAGATGGATTTGAATCAGTGTTCATGGTAAGTAACATTGTAAGAAAGTCGGATCTTACTTTTGTTGTTTCATTAGTTGTTAAAGTTGTAGAGTTGATATCATTAGTTGTAGAGTTGATATATTTTTGTTTTTCAATCAAAGCTTTACGTTCTTTTATAAATTTAATTTCAAATTCCGTGAGATTAAATAAAACTTGACGAAAATAATTGTATTTTTTTCTGATCCAAGGTAAATTCCAAGCAAATTTTGGAATAAACATGAAAAAGGCAACAGCGTCGTTGTAATCAGAACGTAATACTCGATATTGTTCACCATTACTTAAATTCTTTGAATTATCATCAAGAATATCAGATTCTAAATTAATAGATAATTTAGCATTATTTCCAACAGTTTTTTTATAAATAATTTTTAAAGACTCTTCTCTAGAACCAGCAGCAACCAAACTAATCATATCACTAGTAAAAGCACGATACCATTCATCCAATCTAACGGCCTGCGTATTTTTAACATCATCCCAATAAGTCATCATAACTTCACAACATTCACGAGTATATTTAGTACTTAATTCAATAAAACTTGGCGGAGATAAAGATTGTTGAAAGAATTTACGATTATGTCTCCATTTTGGAATATCTAAATTTAATAATAAACCTTCTTTATCCATTCCTAATTCTTTAAAACCAGGTAATAAAGGCATTCTAAATAAATAAGGGGAATAGACACTTGGAGAGAATAAATCTTTTAAAAAATTAGGATCAGCGACTAAGACGGTACGAAAACCATACATTTCTAATTCACAAACACTGCCATATTTATTGGTTAAATTATAAAAATTAGCAGCAAGATTGCCAAAAAGAACGTGTAAATAGCCTAAGAAAGGAAGAGGAATAGGACCAGGTGCACGATTTTTACGGGATTTAAAGAAATTAAAATAAGGATATATTGCGAAATAAATGAGAAGGAAGGATAATAAAAGATAGAAATCAAGGTATTTTGAAGAAAATTTGTAAATCGCTTCAAATAAAGCGAATAGATTCATTATTACGACGTAGAATTGTAGAATTAGGCAAGTTATATATACGTAATATTTGATGAATGAATGAATAAATGAATGAATGAAAAAACGATGACTTTTGATCTCAGGATGACCTTTAGGATGATCTCAGGATGATCTCAGAATGATCTCGTTTGATATAGTTTGATATATTTGCGTAAAGAATAAACAAAAAAAAACTGAACAAAAAAAAGTTTTTTTTTTTTTTCAGAAAGTACGTATTTTTTTGCTCTTTTTATTAACATAAAACAATGTAATATCAACATAATACATAATTAATAGAATTTAAACAATCCAACTCTTGATTTCTAAATTCAAATTATCGTTATGCATTGTACATTTTTAATATTGTGCATTTAATCTACATTGTTATATTTGGTTAAAAAAAGTCTAACTGGTTTTATGCAACATCGACACACGTGATTATAGGGTATCGAAGATTTAGGTTGTCGATCGAGTACATTGTTGAAATAATACCTAAAATAGATATTCGCATAAATCATTAGTTGCTTGTAAATCATAAATCACTCGAAGCCATTTTAACGATCGAATGATCAAAGATTACCTATAATATCGTTATTTATGAAAATGCCATCCTTTTTTTATCGTTCCCGAATTCATGAAACTACATACCGAGATTTGTTTCTAACTATATATAGATTAATTTACTTCCACAGTTACTTACCAATTACTGTCCGTACGTAGCTAGGTTTAAAATAATTTGTATAGAAATGTTGTTAACTCTTTCTAAAATTGTAATTAAAAGTACGTAAGCAAGCTTGAATAAAACGATAGCTGCCTTCAGTTCAAACTGATTAAAAAAATCTGTTGGAAAAATTGTAAAGATTATTGTAAATTCATCAAGAAAATACATCAAGAAAATACACCAAGAAAATACATCAAGAAAATACACCAAGAAAATACATCAAGAAAATACATCAAGAAAATACATCAAGAAAACATTCATCAAGAAAATACATCAAGAAAATACATCAAGAAAACATTCATAACAGTCCATTTTCTGTCTTTTCTGTCTTTTCTGTCTTAATAACCGAATTCGATGCAACTATCAAAAGATTTACATTTAAGATTAGAATTTTTAACGCTATTTTAACGTTATTTTCACATGCTCATCTTAAAGGTATGGAATATATGCGAGGGGTAAATATTTAAAGATTAAAGTATGCACATACCAACTTTTTCACATGAGAACCTGTGTTTCAAGAACAATAGTTACGTATGCATCTAATTTCTACACAGTGATTTATCATTGAACGTTCAATAAAATCCTGTGATCTTATTATCCAAATAAATTTCTCAATTTTTTAAAAGTAACAATCAAATAAATATATAAATCAATTTGGTATTTAGCTATTGTTAATTTGCAACTTCAAATTTTGTTTATATATTGTTCACGTAATGAGGTAACAATATTATTAAAAATTGGACAATACGTACGTACGTACGTACGACGGATAAACTTCGGTTACTCTAATTGTATCAATTCTTACCCTTCAATTAACTTTACAGTTATATTTTTTTTTTAGTGTTAATCGCCATTTCAATTTACATTTCTGCATCGATCAGCATAATAATTTAGTGGTGCGTTCGTTTTGTGTAAAGGGATTTCATAATTTGTTTATATATCTATAGAATGAGTTTAACCTGATATTGGTTTAAAATTGTCCTAATAATAACTTTAGGTGCCTCCAAAGTGACACTATCGCTAAAATCCATAAAAATCGTTTCTATTATTAACTTTATTGGCTTACATACGTACGTATTAAGTTTTATTAGCTTACGTATTAGTTTTATTAGCTTATTAACTTTATTGGTTTCAATTATTATTATAACAAATAAAGGATATTAATTACGTACTAAAAAAGGTTTATTTAATGTTCACTTTAATGTCCTTCCGCTCAATTTGTAGACTTGTCATCAAAAATAATTTGATTTAATTGTTGAATGTGATGGGTAAAATAATTTTCTTTGGGTTCATTGATTATCCAATTCATTAATCTTTTCTTCGTTTCGGAAAATATTTCTTTCCCTCTTCGATTTTCTTCTTGTGTACTATTTTGCTTTTTATTATCAGTTTTATAATTTGTTGAATTGTTGTCTTTAGATGCTTTAGATGCTTTAGATGAGATAAGAATTAAAAATATTATTATCAATAAAGAAATTGTTAAAATTAAATTTGGTCACACCATTATTTTTATTCTTGTTTTTTATACCAATATACTTTATATCTTTAGTTTTAGTGAAATATCACTTTTTTATTTTTATACATAAAAGCTTTGGTTATTTATTACTATATATATAATCTCAAGTTTATTTAAATTTATACTTATGTTATATATATATGTGCTTGATAATTTTAATTTATTGCAAACACAATTATAATATCTAATATATTGATTACTTTTTATTTTAAAATTTTTTTTAAAAATTTAAAATATTAGTTCTAATATATTAAATACTTCAATTTTTAATTATATTATCTCTTGATATAGTTCTTAATACAATTCTTGATATAGTAAAGATTTAATTATATATATATTTTTAATATACAGTCAAACCCCTCTATAGTCATCTTTTCTATAGTCACAAAATTGGTATAATTACAAATTTATTTTTACTAATTATTTATAACTATATATAAAATACTTCTATATTAGTTACTTCTTTTTACAATCACGGTTTTTTGTATTCCGAAGGTATGACTATAGAGGGTTTAACTATATTATAATTCTTAAAATAACAAAATAAATTAATAAAACAATCAAGATTTAGCAAATTAATTAAAATTTAGATTCAAAATATATAGAGTTAAACCAATATTAAACACTAATATTAGTTCACTATATATATTATAATAAAATTATCAACTAGATATTTTTTTTTTGATACAGTATACAATACTTAAAGACTATACAAACTTTAAAAACTAATAACTTATAATCTAAAAAAGATATTTTAAAAAGGAAACTACTATTGTATAAACAACTTAGCAGTCTTATTTTTTAAAAAACTATAATAATTTTTTAAAATATATAGCCTTAAAAATATAGTATTTTTACGTAATATATAAGAATTTAACCAAAAATAGGACAAGTCACTTGTTTTGACTTCTTGCTATTAGCTAATTTTAAAATTATTTTTAAAATTATTTTTAAAATATTTTTTATTAATTAAGTTTTAACCAATCAGAATACAAAAAATCAAAAAAACATCAAATTTTAATATGAAAATTTTGAAAATAGGACAAATATAGTTTTTAAGTATCTTGTACTATATTAAAGTAATTTTTTGATTGTTTTCTTTTATTTAATTATAGATTTAACTTTATAGTATACTATAATATACTGTATATATATACATATATTTATTATTATTATTTATTAAATAAAATATTTAATCATAAATCTATAATTTACAAATCACCAAAAACAAAAAATAACAATTTTCTCAACAATTAATATAAAAAACAAGATTTTTTATACTAAAAAAAAAATAAAACTTTAAATAATACTTATTTTATTAAAATAGCTTTTCACAAAACTTTAAAACAAACAATAAAATAAATTTTTAAAAAATTTTTAGAAAATTTTTAGAATTTTAGAGATTTTATCTAAACTCTAAAGATCTGATTTAATTAAACTTTAAAAATTAATTTCTCAATAACTATTTTATCAAATTGAGTCAAATTTTTTGTTATTAGTATAAAAATCATTGAATTTTAATATACTAAACTTTTAAAATTTTTAAATATGATTCTGATTTTTTATTAATTTTTAATTGAACCCAATTAATTTTTTATTTTTTAATTTTTCGTAAAAAAATTTGTTTAAAATTTTAGCTTTTATCTAAAATTTTTACTAGTGATTGAAAATTTACCAAAAAAATATACAATCTAGGCTAACTATTTACTAAGTTTTGAGAAAGTTTCAAAGTTATAGCATCTTTTTATAAACAGATATAGGTGTAGAGTTTTCTTTGTCTTGTACTGTAAGTAATTTAAAAAAATAATTAAAAAAGTTATACTCAGCAAATCTAGCAATATTGAATATATAGCCAAAAGCTTAACAATAGAAAATGAAAGCAAGATTATATCAACAGAAATATTAGCATATAAACATATACAAAAAGTTCTGCTAGAAGCTAAATTTAAAAGATATCTAGAAAAAGAAATAGAAAAATAGACAGAAAAGACAAAATAAGTTAACCAAAACCCAAGTCAATCAAAAATAAGCAAGAAAAATTGAAAAAGAAATAAACAAAATAAAAGATATAATAAAAGTATAAAAAAAAATCTACAATAGCAGAATTTCAGAAAATGCAGACTGAGAAAAACTCTGAGAAAAAAGTAATAAAAGAAGAAATAAGTATAGAAAACTTTTTACAACAAGTAGAAAATATAGATATAAATATTTCTTCTTTTATTACTTTTTTCTCAGAGTTTTTCTCAGTCTGCATTTTCTGAAATTCTGAGAAAAACTCTGA